CCTTCTCTGTCTTTTAATGCCACTAGGACCAGCTTAAGAGTCACTGGACCCATGTCCCACAAAATAACTGTCCACAGTCCTCTGTGTCTGGCACCTCTAAGATTTCCCTAAAATGGGACATGATTCTGTCACTGAACATGTTGCAAAGATGGCTTGTTTCAGCTTGCTCAGGGTGGTACTTTTCCACAAACATTTGGACATCATTCCACTTGGCACAAATCTCCTTAATCTTTGAGGAAGGCACCTCATCCACTCCCTCTTCCTCTTCCTCCTCCTCCTCCTCTGAAGCAAGTCTTGAGCTGTGGTCTGATACTGTTCCAGATGAAGCTCTTCCAGCTCCTCAGTGGTTAGCTCTTCCCTGTGATCCTCCACCAACTCTTCCACGTCTTTTGCCACTCCCCTCCAGCCCCAGGGTGTTCCTCAATGCCACAGTAGAGTCCACAACAGGCAGAGGGTCAGCAGGGTCAGGGTTAGGGTCAGCCTCAAACCCTTCAAAATCCCTCTTTTGGACACAATCTGGCGAGAGTTGTCTCCAAGCAGAGTTGAAAGTCCTGGAAATCACTCCTTCCCAAGCCTTACCTATAAGGCTTATGGAGCTGTAGATATTGAAGTGATTCCTCCAGAACTCCCTTAGGGTCAACTTAGTGTCTGTGGTCACTTCAAAGCACTTGTCAAACACTGCTTTTGTGTAAAGTTTTTTGAAGTTAGAAATGACCTGCTGGTCCATGGGCTGGAGGAGAGGAGTGGTGTTAGGAGGCAAGAACTTCACTGTGATGAAACTGTAGTCCCTAGACAGTAGCTCTACCAAGTTTGGAGGCTGTGCAGGAGCATTGTCACTTAACAGGAGGCACTTGAGTGGCAAATTATTTTCTAGGAGGTATTTTCTCACACTGGGGCCAAACACTTCATGGACCCACTCTTTGAAAATTTGCCTTGTGACCCACGCCTTATTATTTGCTTTCCACAAGACACATAACTTGTTCTTAATGACATTGTTTTTCTTAAACACACTGGGATTTTCTGAGTGATACACAAATAAAGGCCTCACTTTAAAATCACCACTGGTAAACTCCAGTGTTAGCAAAGAACAGAAGAGTTAGGCTGTCTTTCATAGGCTTTTGTCCTGGGAGTGCCTTTTCCTCCTGTGTGATGTAGGTCCTCTTTGGCATTTTCTTCCAAAACAGGCCTGTTTCATCACAATTGAACACTTTTTGGGGTTTTAATTTTTCAGTGTCTACGTACCATTTAAATTCCTGTACAAACTTCTCAGCTGCCCGTTTGTCTGAACTGCCTGCCTCACCATGCCTTACAAGATTGTGTATGCAACTATGCTTCTTAAATCTTTCAAATCAGCCTTTGCTGGCCTTAAATTCATTGGTTCTAGGAGTTTTCTTTGCCAGGTCGGCATGCAACTTCCTTGCCTTTTCACAAATGATTGTCTCAGAAACATTATCACCTGCCATCTCTTTATCCTTGATCCACACCAGCAAGAACTTCTCAACCTGATCGACTGTCTATTTTTGGTTAGCATATCAACACCTTTTGTCACATCAGCTTCCTTGATATGTTCTTTCTTTGCCAGGACAGAAGCGATGGTTGACTTGTTTTTGTTGTACATCCTTACAAGCTCAACAGGTCTCACACCACTCATATTTTTGTATTTCCTTCTTCAAGTCTATGATGTTTCTCACTTTCTTTACCACAGGGGTACCACTAGAAAGTTTCTTCGGGCCCATGGTAGCTTATTTCACAGTCACACAAGCACTAAACACAATGAATATTTGAATGAGCGTGCAGGTTAGTGTTCACTCAAGCATCAACAAAGCCAGACTGCTCGCGACACCTGCACAGGGATACGGACAGGGTGAGCTGGCGGACAGGTCCGGTACCCGGCGGTTTGAAAGACGGGTAGAGTTCAATACTCAAGACAAAATTGGTTCAAAAAAGTGGTCAAAACTCGAAAAGTTCGATAATCGGTAGGTTCGTCACTCGATGGTCCACTGTACTTCTTTTACAACCCCATCTATAAATATATTAAGCAGCCATGGTGATATTACACATCCCTGTCTAAGACCTACTTTTACCGGGAAGTAATCTCCCTCTCTCCTACACACCCTAACCTGAGCTTCACTATCCTCATAAAAATTCTTTACAACATCTGCCACATTGCTCCCCTATCCACTCTATCATATGCCTTTTCTAAATACATAGCTGCAATGAAAACTTTTTATTTATTATATTTATTAACACACTGGCCGATTCCCACCAAGGCAGGGTGGCCCGAAAAAGAAAAACTTTCACCATCATTCACTCCATCACTGTCTTGCCAGAAGGGTGCTTTACACTACAGTTTTTAAACTGCAACATTAACACCCCTCCTTCAGAGGGCAGGCACTGTACTGCCCATCTCCAGGACTCAAGTCCGGCCTGCCGGTTTCCCTGAATCCCTTCATAAATGTTACTTTGCTCACACTCCAACAGCACGTCAAGTATTAAAAACTATTTGTCTCCATTCACTCCTATCAAACACTCTCACTGTTCACATATATGCTTCAATGTAAACACTTGATCTACACATCCCTTACCCACTCTAAAACCTCCTTGATCATCTGCAATCCTACTCTCTGTCTTACCTCTAATTCTTTCAATAATAACCCTACTGTACGTACTCTTTTCCTGGTATACTCAGTAAACTTATTCCCCTATAATTTTTACAGTCTCTTTTGTCCCCCTTCCCTTTATATAAAGGAACTATACATGCTATCTGCCAATCCCTAGGTACCTTCCCCTCTTTCATACATTTATTAAACAAAAATACCAACCACTCCAACACTATATCCCCCCCCCTGCTTTTAACATTTCTGTCATCCCGTCAGTTCCAGCTGCTTTACCCCCTTTCATTCTACATGCCTCTCCCACACTTACATCCTGTTCTTCTTCACTCCTAAAAGATGTTATACCTCCCTGGCCAGTGCATGAAATTACCGCCTCACTTTCTTCATCGGCATTTAAAAGTTCCTCAAAATATTTACGCCATCTACCCAATACCTCCAGCTCCCCATTTACTAACTCCCCCTGTTCTGTTTTTAACTGACAAATCCATTCATTCCCTAGGCTTTCTTAACTAGTTTAACTCACTCCAAAAATTTTTCTTATTTTCATCAAAATTTCTTAACAATGCCTCTCCCACTCTATCATCTGCTCTCCTGTTGCACTCTCTCACCACTCTCTTCACCTTTCTTTTACTCTCCATATACTCGGCTCTTCTTATAACACTTCTGCTTTGTATATATACAGTGGAACCTCTACTTGCGAGCGTGTCCACGTGCGAGTTTTTCCAAATACGAGCAGTCGATGGGTCGATTTTTAGCTTCCATACGTGAGCAAAATTTCCATAAGCGAGCAGACCTCAAGACTGGTTCCTTGACACTGGTGAGGGGCTCTCGCTCTTGATCTCGGGAATTGTATCTCATTTGTTTGTTGGGCTATCTTATTGAAACTTGGGCAATGTATGATCGAAAGATGCTTCTTAACATACACCAAAAATGAAAGAAATCTAAGCATAAATAATGGAGCTCACTTTTCAGCAATTAGCCACCCCTTAGAGGTATTTTTGTATGTTTTTATGGTTTTATTCTCATTTTTTTTGGTTTCATTTGATAGAATGGAAGATATATTACAGAAATAGATATGATTTTGATTGCTTTCAGAACGAAAAGTACCTTGAAATTGAGCTCAACGTAGGAGAAATGGTCCATTGCTTGTCTATGTTTAAGAGTAAACAAATCACATCGCTGTCCATTCCAGTATGCATTCGTGAATGGGTTAACATTATTTATACAATTATTGCAATAAAAATAACAGTAAATCTTATATTTTTTGTGTGAATAAAAATTACAAATTATTTATATAATAATAATAATAATAATAATAATATGAGTAATAATAATACGTATAATAATAGTATAATACTACAATAATACTAATAATAATTATAATATATGTATAATAATAATACATATATAATAATAATGTACTACATATAATAATTATAATATTAGATGGCTTCAAAAGGCCGTCACTAGATAGCAGTGTTTACCACAACAAAGAGGGAGCGGTTGTGGCCGCCTACACCTCTTACATAATGACATATTTTATTCATTCTAGAGTATGTCAGGTTTCTATGTGGTTTATGTTGTTTATTATTTCATATTAGACGAACTGTGATAGATAAATAAGCCGTAGAGTTGATGATAGCGAAATATTCAAGGAGTATGTTGTCCTGTCTCCAGACAAACTCTTGTCAGCCGCTGACACCGCCCATACAACTACACGAATGACATATGTTATTCATTCTAGAGTATATATCAGGTTTCTATGTGATTTATATTGTTTATTATTTCATATTAGATGAACTTTGATAGATTAATAAGCCGTAGAGTTGATGATTGAAGTATTTTGCCCGGTCTCTAGACAAACCTCTCGTCCACCTCCGACATTGCCCATACCACTACATGAATGACATATTTTATTCATTTTAGAGTATATATCAGTTTCTATGTTATTTATATTGTTTATTATGTCATATTAGATGAAGTGAGATGGATAAATAAGCCGTAGAGTTGATATTAGCGAAATTATTGAAGTACAGAGTTCCACTGGAATGGATTAATTGCATTTCAATTAATTTAAATGAGGAAAATTGACTCTGCAAACGAGCAAATCCAGTTGCAAGCAAGATCTTGGAACGGATTAAACTCGCAAGTAGAGGTTCCACTGTACTTGTAGAAATAAAAATATTATTGTATTATATTATTATTAAATAAAGTAAAGATTAAGGTATACCATGTAGTATATTCTATACATTGTGTTTTATGTTTAATTTAAACAGTACAGGTAAAGCGGGTTGGTTTGCCGTGTATTTGATGTACTCTTACAATGTGTACAGTACTTGTCAGAAATAAATTATTGTTCATAATTCATTATCTTAATTCTTTCAGTGATCCCTATGTCAAAATTGAGTTAGTGAATGTGACAACAAATGGAAGTGATGATGATGTTGTTGACTGCGTTCTCACCAAAACCAAGAAAAAGGTAAAACCACAGTACTAAAAATTATGATTCAGAATATGGCTATACACCATAGTTTCCCATTGGAGTAAAATAAAATTATTTATTCCTAGTTGTACATTATCAGTGTTTATTATATAATCATTTTATTATCCTGAATTAATAAAATGATGTTCTAACCTTAATGGATGGTGTGGAATGCTGATGTAGCACAAGTATGAAAATTATGGCTAGAATGGTAGAAATACAAGCTCTAAATAGCATGTGTGCAGTTAGGCTAGCTAGAATTGTAGGAATAATGCAATAATAATAATAATACATCTAAAAATGTGTACTGTGAAGGCCTGAATAATGAGATTAATTAAGAAAGGCATCAGACTGTGCGGTGACCATGTGGAATGAATGCATGAATGATGATGATGTACATGAGTGAATTTGAGAATAGGAAAAAAAAAAGGATCATTGAGTGCACGAGAAGTGGCAGTGAGTGAGATGGAGTGGAAGTTTTAGAAGGAAATAGACAGTTGATGTTTTTGTTTCAGTTTCATGGAGTTTTTTTTTTCTTCCAAGTAGTCTGTGAAATGGTTGAAGTGTTGCACTATATTGGATATTTTACTAATATGTATAATAATAAATAATTTGGGATTTTGTTATTCTTGAGGGCCTGTTCTTTTAAGAAATTCATAAGTGCTCACACATCAAGCTATAAATGCAAAAACAGTGATGAAGACAAAATTCTTATGTTTATATTCAAGTGTGACAATATAATGATCAAGATTATTAGCTCTAGAAAAGAGATAAGCTTTCAACCGAGACTTGAAAGCTTGAGCAGCCTCTTGACTCTGAACAAAGCTGTGTTACTTTTCCGTGCTGCTGCTTTGGTTAACCCTTTGACTGTCGCGGCCGTATATATACGTCTTACGAGGTACTGTGTTTGACGTATATATACTCATAAATTCTAGCGGCTTCAAATCAAGCAGGAGAAAGCTGGTAGGCCCACATGTGAGAGAATGGGTCTGTGTGGTCAGTGTGCACCATATAAAAAAAATCCTAGAGCACGCAGTGCATAATGAGAAAAAAAAAACTCTGACCGTTTTTTTTAATTAAAACGCCGACTTTGTGGTCTATTTTCGTATAGTATTTATGGTTGTATTCTCGTTTTCTTGGTCTCATTTGATAGAATGGATAACATGTTATAGAAATAGAGGTGATTTTGATTGATTTTACTATAAAAAAAAAACTAGAAATGGAGCTCAAAGTAGGGGAAATGTTTGATTTTTGCCAATGTTCAAAAGTAAACAAATGATGCCATTGTCCAATAAATGTCCAACTAGCCATTCTAATATGCAGTCATGAATGGGTTGATGTTATTTATACAATTATTACAGTATTGCAATAGTCTGCATAATAGTAAGTCTTCTATTTTTTGTTTGAATAAAAATTCAAAATAGAAAGCAAGAGTAATATCAGAGGGGCCTGGAGACGTGACTGATGAACAAAGAAAATGTTATTTTAGAGCCAGGAATGTCTGCATTGTTCATTCTGGACCTTATTTTGAAATTGTCATATTTTTTAGTTTTCGTGAAATTGGCCAAATTGCAAATTTCTGACCACATTATTAGGTAGTTGAAATCGGTAAATGGGTAGTTTCTTGTACTCAATCGATAGAAAAAATGGAGTTCTAAAGAAATAGCTATGAGTTTGGGCGACTGGAACAAGGGAATTAGCCGAAAATAGGGCTCAAAGTGGGCGAAATCGCCGATATGTAAACAGCACCGAGGTCGCTAACTTCACGAGAGCATAATTCCGTCAGTTTTCCATCAAATTTCGTTTTTTTGGTGTCATTACAATCGGGAAAAGATTCACTATTATTTCATAAGAAAAAATAATTTTTTTTTTTTAAATTTTGCGACACCAGGAGACACCTCAGGATTAGGGGTTGCGACAGTCAAAGGGTTAAAAGTGTGTATGCAATATGTATCAAATGAGTATCTTAAATCTTTTACCTCTGCCACACACTAGTACAGTGGACCCCCGGTTAACGATATTTTTTCACTCCAGAAGTATGTTCAGGTGCCAGTACTGACCGAATTTGTTCCCATAAGGAATATTGTGAAGTAGATTAGTCCATTTCAGACCCCCAAACATACACGTACAAACGCACTTACATAAATACACTTACATAATTGGTCGCATTCGGAGGTAATCATTATGCGGGGGTCCACTGTACTTCTTCATCCTTTTTTGGCAGGTATCTTCCTACCCAGTGAAGATGGTGAAGTGGTTAGTAATGATGATGCTGAAGATAATCTTACAGTTTTTAACACATGCATATCATTATGACTTGAATATCTTATAAATTTATATCATGTTTATTAATTACACTATTTATCCTTTTATTTTTCAGACCTTAAATCCACGATGGGATGAAGAATTTGTATTTAGAGTAAGTGTGGCAGTATGTTTCAGTATGGTACAGTGTGATCAGTTTAGATAAATTTTAATGGTTCATAGATAGTACATTAACTTTGTAATCAATATATACAGTACATATATTGACATAGGGAAATAGCCATAAGTCTTCTTTTTGGTATTTATTTTCATCTTGACACTAGGTGGTCAGCAAGGTATTTCACAGCTAAGCAGCAGTTTATAAAGAAAATGGTGGCTAGTGTTTCATTTCATAATGGATCTTTATCAAGTCAGTGTTGACTTGATAATGGTCCAGAACAGATCATGACATCATCTAAAGTTTCCTTTACAAATGGCAGGTTATTTGTGATTTGTTTCACTCATGGTATTGTGGCTTTTATTCTTGAAGTTATTATAATTGCCACTGGAAGCACAGTTTTTGAAGTAAATAAGAAGTTCATTTCTTATTATTTCTGTATAATTGTTCTGTTCATACACCCAAAAGGATGTATAAATCTGGGGTAGAAGGAAGTGTAGGGGTCATCCCAGGAAGAGTTGGAGGGAGGGGAGCAAAATTGCTAGTGGCTTGAACACCCAACAAACTTGTGTGAGCATACTATAAAAGTGGTTTTTATGGATTGAGCAAGGTTAACATTTGTGAAGGTAATCATTGAAACTGGTTTGCTGAACTGAGAGCCCTTGAGGTGGGAAGTACAGTGCTTGCACTTTGGAGGAGGGTCTTTGGATCTGTGATGTCTTCATACTTTTTTGAAGATTGCTATTGAATATGGGATGGTGAATGTAATTTTTTTTTTTTTTTTTTTTTTGGGGGGGGGGGGGGGGTTCTCCTTACCTGAAAATGTCTTTCTACATTGAAAAATGTATGTTGATTCCTCACTTTGTATTAGTTATTTTCTGAACAATCAAATATTTATGTGAACTTGTTAAAGGACTATCACTTTTCCAAGAAAATCTGAAGGGAAGAGGTAAAGAAGGTTTTGTAAGTTAGGTGCTTGAGTATCCAGCAGTCTGATGTGAGTATATTATGTCAGAGTGAGTGATGACAAGTTTGACCTGCTGTTGGACTGTGAACAAAGTAACACTTATGAAGATATTTAGGGAAACCGGTTAGCCGGACTTAATTCCTGGAGGTGGGAAATGCAGTGCTTTTATGCTGGAGGAAGGGAGGGGATGTTGCAATTTAGAGGGTCATTTGATTTGTGATGTCTGTGCACTTCCAGCAACACAGCTATTAATTGAATGATGGTGAATGTGGTTTTTATTTTTGTGAGGGGGAGGGTCATCCTACCTTGGTGAGGTTTAAATTTTTTTATTTAAATATTGATTTTCCCATCACTTGGATTTTTCTACTCTTTTCAAGTTCCTGTTCTAGCAGATACCCAAAAATAGGCTAATAGGAGACTGCCATTTCATATACATGTGCATGAAGTTTTGAGAGAGTATTTTAATTATATGTTTCTAAAGTTGATATGAATTATATCCCATTAAGTTCTATAGTACAGAAAAAAAAAGAGTATTTTCTTAAGTGTATGCGTGTTTTTGATATACCTACAGGTGAAGCCAGCAGAACACAAGCTCTTGTTAGAAGTATTTGATGAAAATCGTTTAACCCGGGATGATTTCTTGGGTTTGGTTGAACTGCCATTAATAAACCTACCACGTGAGGCAGAGAGTAGACAAATTCCACATCGACACTACAGACTTCAACCCAGAAGGTAATTTTTAGTTCTGCCTAGATTATTCTGAGGTAGCTTTAACCCTTTCAGGGTTGGTGCCGTACTAGTACGGCTTGCACGCCAGGGTTGGTGCCATACTAGTACACATAAATTCTAGCACCTTCAGATCTAGCGAGAGAAAGCTGGTAGGCCTACATATGAAAGAATGGGTCTATGTGGTCAGTGTGCGTGGTATAAAAAAATCCTGCATCACACATTGCATAATGAGAAAAAAAACTCCGACTGTGTTTTTGGTTTAAAATAGCGACTTTGCAGTGTATTTTCGTATGCTATTTATGATTGTATTCTAGTTTTCCTTGTCTCATTTTATAGAATGGAAGACATACTATGGAAATTGAGATGATTTTGATTGGTTTCACAATGAAAAGTACCTTAAAATTGAGCTCAAAGTAGCAGAAATGTTCGATTTTTGCCAAAGTTCAAAGGTAAACAAATCATGCCACTCGTCCAATACACGTCAACTGGTGAGTGTAATATTCTTTCACAAGTGCCCTGATATTATTTATCCCATTTCTATGCCATTTCTACACGAATGCAGTAGTCTGCATAACATTAATCTACTATTTTTTGTGAGAATAAAAATTCAAAGTGGAAAGCAAAAGAAATGTAACAGAGGCCTGGGGACATGAGTAATGAACAGAGGAAATGTTATTTTAGTGCCAGAAATGTCTGTCTTGTTTATTCTGGACCCTATTTGGAAATTGGCATCTTTTGAAATTTGTGTGTAATTGGCAAAATTGCCAATTTCTGACCACGTTATTGGATAGTGGAAATCGGTAAATGGGTGGTTTCTTGTACTCATTCGATAGAAAAAATGGAGTTCTAGCAAAATAGGTATGATTTTTGTCGACTGGTACATAGGAATTGGCCGAAAATAGGGCTCAAATTGGCCGAAATCACCGATGCGTAAACATCGTCGAGACTGCTAGCTTCGCAAGAGCATAACTCTCTAAGTTTTCCATCAAATTTCATACCTTTGGTGTCATTATGATTGGGAAAAGATTCTCTATCATTTCATGAGAAAAAATAATTTTTTTTTTTTTTTCGAAAAATTTCCGACCCTGAGAACAAATTTAGGAGAGGCCCTGCCGACCCTGAAAGGGTTAATTGAGGCTCTATTTTGTACAGTGGTACCTCAAGTTATGAACTTAATTCATTCCAGAAGGCTGTTCGAGTGCTGATACTAAATGAATTTGTTCCCATGAGGAATAATGTAAATTAGATTAGTCCATTTCAGACCCCCAAAAATAATACACTTACAAAAGCACTTACAAAAATTCACTTACATAATTGTTCAAGTTGGAAGCTGTTTGAAACTTGAGGTACCACTGTATTGAAAATTTACTCTTGCTTCATTTACGCTCAAAAAAAATTAAACTTACTGCAGATTAGCTTCAAAATTTTCAGGAAAAGTTAAAGCATTTGTAAAACATTTTTTATATTGCTTAATTTAAGTGTAGGCTTCAAATTCTGTTAACCATTTCCTTCCATTTTGTTCGTCTAGTTGATCTTTTTTCTTGTCTTCCATTCAATTTGCAGAGTTTAACAGGACTACTAATGTCATTATAATCTCCCATTATTATGGGAAAATGGTGTCTTGAGACTAAATGCCCCTTGAGATAGTTTGAACCTTGTCAGGGTTAACTGAAATGATTCTGGATGAAGTCCTAAAGTGATTTTGCAGAAGTAAGGAACTGGAAACCATACTTTCTGTACCAGATTTGTTGCAAATAATTTGTTTGTGTGAGACATAAAGGCTAAAAATTTGACTTGTTTTAACATATGTAATGATCCTGGAATGCATTTTGCAGTACTCGATCACGAGTGAAGGGTCACCTACAGTTGTATGTAGCTTATATTGTTGATGATGGAGCTAGCAGCAGTGGAGCTTCTGGAGAACAAACTCCAGAGGAAGCAGCATGGGAGGTGGTGAGCATTGACAACAGTAGTGGTCACGAAGAATCTCCAGCTCAGGTGAGAACCCCAGTGTCATTCCTTATTTTAGATGTAACACCATATAGATGCCTTTAAGTAGAATGGATTACTTTACATAAAATTAGATAGACAAGCCATGATTTCTGAGATTTTAAATTGTGTCGCTGTTGTATTCAGTTGTAGCTATATTATCGAGTAGAAATTCCTCTTAAAGCATGCATTGTTTCTATAATGGTTTGTGACATCTTGGAAAAATGGTATGATGAGTGTATTACTTAAATGTTATTGGCCGCAGTAGCCAGGTTGATCAGTCATTAGGAAAGACTGGCTTCAAGCTAGGCTCTGAGAGTGCTGGTAGACTCCTGAAACAGGGGACAAATATGTGTCTTATCAGTTTATATGCAGTATAGTGCAGTACTATAAGACTAATAAGGGGGATTGTATGAGTGTCTGTTAAATCAGAATAATGTTAAAAGGTACTCTAATGTATACTTAATATAGTACTTTACACACACTTTATAAATATACTTTATTCTTCCAGTTACAGCATTGTGCCTTAATATTTTTTATACTATAATAAACATTGATAATAAAGGAGGTACAAGTACAATTTACCCACTGGATTTTGCCCATTATTTTAAAAGCCTGTTATGTCAAGGGATTTCTGTAAGTGTAATGTGAGACAGGTAATGTGTGTACGTGATTTAGAGGAATGCAAAAACTAAAACTGTATAGCTTAACAAAAGTGTGTTCTTATTTCAGTGTCATGACATTTTGTATTGGCAATGATGCTCTTGCTTATTGAATATAATGTATTAAGTGTGAACAGATCATCTTAATCACGTGAATTTTCTGAACTCGCTCAGTAGGCTTTCTCCTCTTGTGCAGGGGCTATCCCATGATATGCAAGGGATATCCCATGCTATGATCTCATGAAATCTCTCTGCATTTTTTATTTGTATTTCTGCATTCCTACTATGATGTCAAAATCTTGTCATGCTAGTAGCTCTGAGTACGTATGTAAAATTTTTGATACACATTATATTAGGTGATTTTGGCTTCTTGGTTCCCTGATTGTTTATTCAGTTTGTATTAATGACAACTTTTAGTAACTTTCACTTCCCTATATAAGTTTAAAGAATAGTGTTAAGTAACTATTATTTTGTATTTCTGATGGATATCTATTTTTTGGAATCCTCTTTCATAGATTAATTACAAATACTGTGAACTACAGTAGTATGTTCTGATCCCCCATTTTATGCTAAATGTCATTTTACAGTTTACTGCATTTCGGAAAAAGTGCAGCGTTCAGGTTGGTCCACTTTGGTTATCTTCAGGATAGTTTGCTCCAGTAATAGATTTTAAGGTTTATAATTTAACTGTTAACTTGATTTGCTAATCAGTGAGGTAGTGATGTTTTATTGATAAATATTTTTGGTAGTGATGTACCTTGGTCATCTCATTACACTGTTTCTTGTGGATTTTTCTGATTAAGGCATGTCCATTGGAGTACAGTACAGGGGGTCACCAAACCAACAAACGAGTTGCTTTCCTGGTGTTCCAACTTATGAACCAGTTCTTTGTAACTCGGAACCTATTATCTCAGAAAACAATAGTACAAAAGATGTTTTGTTTTTGTCTACACATGTTTTCAACTTTGGTTTGGTATAACTTTGATGAGCTCAAGAGTTGTTCTACTCCCAGAGCCAACCTTGAGCCAGGCTCATGTTTGTAAAACTTTTTGTCATTTTTTTGCTCATGAACCTCATTTGTAAGTGTGGATGTTCATAACTTGGGGGTTCATAACTTAGGGACCCCCTGTATATCATCTGTGAGTAAGGTTTAATGGTTACCAAGATACACATTTTCCTCTAGGGTGATGTTAGTGATGATTGAATTCTCATTAATATACTGGTTATTTTCACTTGAAAATCATAAAAAAATTAATTATCACATGTGTTACTCTTAAAGAATATTTACTGTTTAATGAAATTTAAACTGCATTTATTATAACATATACTGATATAAAGTAAATATTATTAAAATTAAATCTTTCAGTTTTACAGATTAAATACTCTTGTATATGATGAGTTACCAGTATAGTATAGTATTGCTGCATCACCCAGGAGTGAATTAGCTGTCTTTTTCAATTAGTCTTAGGCTTTTAGAGCATTGTTAGTACTGAAAAACTTACAAAAATTTTGAGTTTCTTCCTAAGTTTGAGATTCACAGTTTAGTAGTTTTCTTTTTGTATAATTAGGATGATGTTTGGCATGTGATAGCATAAACAATCTCTGTTTCTCATATATTTAATTACCTCCCTTATGCTTTTAAGCATGGTAGTTTTAAACGTTTGTGCATCTGCTCTAAGGCTCACTTTTTACAGCAGGCAGATGTAAGACTTTCCTACAACAGTTCATAAGTTTGTTTAGCTGGTCACATTTTTTTTTAGTTGCTATTCATATGTATCTGTTGGTGATAATAAAATCTACTCTTTTAGACAAAATGTATTTAAAAACTTCAGAATCCTTCTTGTAACTATATTCTATTTTACTTAAACTAAAGAGGGTACAGATAGGGCACTGAAATGGTTTTAAAGTACATTTCCAGCAATCTCTATGGGGAAAGTGGAGAAAAATCCTTCCTCCAAAAGCCATGCATATTGCAAGAGACGTTTAAAGTGCCAGGAGCAAGGGGCTAGTGACCCCTTCTCCTATATAAATTACTAAATGTAAAAAGGAGGAGGGGCGGGGATATCTGCAGTTTTGAACTATAGTATTGGTGCCCTTCTGGCAAGACAGTGATGGAGTGAGTGATGGTGAAAGTGTTCCTTCATTTTCTGGTCACCCTGCCTCAGTGGAAGATGGTCGGTTTGTTAGAAAAAAAAAAATCAGTGGCATGTGTTGACATTCACATTGTTGTAATGTTCATCCGGTGTTTATATGATGCCAGATTTCAGCATAAGTACAGTGAAACCAAAACTACAGTCTCATCAGACTAGGAGTTGTCTGTTGTTGACATTAATCTTTTGCTGTCATTAGTAACTATGGGAAAATATATTGCCCAAAAATTTTAAATTATACTTGTGAAAAGATGAGCTGTCCATCCTCTTCTAAATTCTTCAGTTCTGCTTGCTGAGAATTGGATCATCACAAGCATTCTTTTTTAAATAAGGATGTCAGTATCATCTGCTTCATACCTCTACCTTTAAGTTTCTTTCTGATTATTTTTTTTTTGTGTGCATCCTTTGCAGCTGTATAAATTCTTGGTTGTTAATGCATGACTTTTTTTCAAGTTGGTTATAAGTGTGCCTAAATTTAATGTACTGTTTTTCTTTTCACACTCAGATCATCTGGTTCCTCATTATTTTTATCACTCTTGTCACTCTCTGTAGTTAAGGGCTTTAAGAATATCAATAATGTCTGAGTTGGCGAGAATGTAGCAAACAGGATTGTTTTTGTTACATTCAATCTCTTCCTCAATGTCTTGATCACAAGCATCAGGAATCATGTCATGTATCCCTTTGAAGTATTTCATCAGTTCAGCAAGTTCTGTTTTCCCCAAGGTACACTGAATCCTCCAAAATCAGGAAGGTTACCTGTATATTCATTTGAGCACACTTACAGAGGTACAAAAAAAATACAGATAAGAGCAGCATGCCAAAGCCACTTATACTATGCATAGCATTACGGGCTGGCTTAAAATTAACTTAAGATTAACTAAGCAATGATGAAATCAGTGAAAAACATTAATGTAAACTGATTACTATAAAGCACAAGTGAGTATTACAAAGACAGGTCATATGGTTGCATGCATTGTTGTAAATTCAGTAGAATGGAGTATTCTGTTAGGTAGTGAATTTAAAAAATAATAAAGTTAGATTGGGTTTTAGGTTTAACATTTAGTGATATAATTGTGAGAAACATTTAAGAAAATCAATTTATAAGGTTCATTTATTCAGTATTTATTTGGTTTTGGGTGAGTAAAGTGATCTTTGGGGAAGAGACTTGAATTTATAAACAGGTAGTGTTTCTTTTATATTAACAGGTAATAAATTCCAGATTTTAGGGCCCTTTTATGTGCATTGAGTTTTTGCATAGCGTGAGATGGACACGAGGAATATCAAAGAGTGATCTGTGCCTTGTGTTTATGGTCATGTGTTCTGTTGAGGTTGGCAAGGAGATGTTTGAGGGGGGGGTTAATTCAGAGTTGAGTGTTCTATGTATGTATAGGTGCAGTAATAAGTATGGTGTTTTGTATGGTGAGTAGGTTGAGTGTATTGAATATTGGTGGGAGTGTGCTGCCTGTAGTGAGAATTTGTTATCATTCTAACTGCAGCTTTTGTTGGGTAATTAGTGGTCTGAGATGGTTACTTGTTGTTGAGCCCCATGCACAAATTCCATAGGTGAGATAGGGGTAAATAAGAGAGTGATATAGGGCCAGGAGGGCTGACTGTGGAGCAATAGTACCGTATCTTCGATAGTATGCCTACAGTCTTGGAAATTTTTCTTAGAAATTTGTTGTATATGTTATGAAATTTGAGTCTATTATCAAGGTGGATTCCTAAGAATTTTCCCTCTGTTAGCTTTGTGATAGGTGATCCGTTTATCTTTAAATGTTAAGAGGGACATCTGTAGCTCTGTTACCAAACTGAATGAAGTAGGTTTTGTCAATGTTTAGTGTAGTTTTTAGTATATCCAGGTAGATATTTTCTGTAATTCGGTATTTACAGTATTGGCTAGCTTGACTGGGCTCGGGTGGGAGAAGACGTATGTTGGTCATCAGCAAATAGTGGGGGTTTGAGTAATTGAGAAGCATTTGGTAGGTCATTTATGTAATAGGAGAAAGAGAAGAGGGCCAAGGACACTTCCCTGTGGGACACCAACTGTAATTGGTTGTGCAGAAGAGTTTGCCCCTTTTGCGTACACATATTGGCTTCTGTTGCTGAGGTATGGACTTGAGGTAGTTGAGGGAGTGCCCTCTTATACCATAGTGTGATAATTTTACGGGGAGCAAGTCATGGTCAACTGTATCAAAAG